TTTTTTATCATCATCATCCTCAACAGCCCTGAATAGTCCACTGCTCGACATACGCCTCTTCTTACGGTTTTGGCCTACTATACCAAGCTGGTCAGGCGGGTTGGTAGAGGATTTGTTTCCAATTTTCCTTCTCTTTGCAGTGCTGTTGACCTGCATAGTTTGCTCTCTTAGTCGTCTCTTACGACACAGACGGGATAAATAGGGGTGGTGACACTATGTTATTAATCCGTCACCACACGAACAGAAAACTGGTGTTAAGAACTTTCTACGTCGCTTTGAAGATCATTTGAAAATGCGTTGATAATCAGTGCGATAGCTATATTTTAGTCCCCGCGTTAGTATTATTCAAGATTTATGAAATTGCACTAGAGTTCGATCATTTAATAGAAGAGAATTTAAATCTGCTCTTAATAAAATTGACTAAAAAAATCCATACTTTTTTCTATTAAAGAAGACAACTCCCGCATTAGGAATATATCCTGTGTCGCGGGGGACTTCACAAACATACATGAAACGGACACAAAGAACACCCAGACTCAGAACAACAATTTGTAGATCACACAAAGTGTCGTGTCGTCCCATGTGGGGATCGAACCCACAACACTCAGCGTAGTAGGAAACGGCGTGGCGACCACTAAAACCACTATGCCAACAGTGCAGTCCATTAAAAATATATATCATAATATGAAAGTAAGTTTATTTGTTTGTTAGGCTTTCACGCCTAAACCACTTAACCGATTTAAAAAAATATTTCAGCAAGGGAAAGCTACATTATCAGTAAGGAACATGCCTATGTTCCTTTTAACCGCGATAATAGAAATATACGCGGTCAGAGCCAGCACGCGGGCAAGCTAGTGTCTAAATAAGAACCTAATAGAATGCCAAAAAAAAATTAAAGTTCATTCAATTGTTCAGTTGTAAATTTAAAAAAGTCGGCACCAGCTAGTATATCATAAATCTCGCCTATATACTCGAAGAGGTATTCAAAGGCATATTAAACGCTCACATAATATGTGAGCGTTTAATATGCCTTTGGCTGTAAGTTTAGCTGTTGTCCTGATTTTCCGCTTAGAGCTATAGAAAATGGGATTTACAATCGGCTTAAGAACAAAATGCACACGTGCAGCGAGCTGTGGAATGTTCTAGATTCCATCGTAATCCTGGAGTATATTAAATCGACACGCGCCTACACAGTGTTGCTAGGAAATGATCTACTTTGACAACAAATATATTATATTATTTGATAAAATTTCCAAAGAAACAAATAGTGTTTTAGAAAAAAATATGTTTATGGAAAAAAATCATAGATTAAGTGCTTTACTTTGTACTAATTAAATTAATTATAGGCATTTTTGAATTCTTTAATTCAAAAATGCTTATAATTAATTTACGTAAAGACACATGTTAGGGGAGGCGCCGAAGTGAGACTGTGTGACCACGGCTTGGAGGAGTCCTACGTTTCGTGACGACACATTTCAAAACCTTATATATGTCTGTGTCTGGGTGCACTTTATCTATAATATGTTTGTATTTAGAAATATATAAGTATATTTATCAGCAGTCTGGTTACCATAGTACAGGCTCTGCCTAGTTTGGGATCAGGTGGCCTTGTGTGAGATATGTGAAAATGTTATTATTATATATCTTTTTTTTTTTTTTTTTTGGCAGTGTTCTGGCCATGTTAGCCGCAGAACTGACAACCGTTGAGGTAAACGAGTTCTTGAGTGGAGATCGCGTCTAGGCAAACGTAGTAGGACGTCCACAGGCCAGGTGGAGTGACGATCTGCGCAAGATGGCTGGCAGGAGCTGGATGCGAGAAGCCGAAAATCGAACTAAGTGCCGTGAAATGGGAGAGGTCTATGTCTAGCAGTGGACTGCGATAGACTGATGATGATGATGAAGTAAGTAATATCATTCATTTTTATTTAACTTGAAAATTATATGAGCAAATGTAAAAAATTTAGAAATCTTTCTCTTTTTTTCAAAAAAATCTTAAGATAACAAAAATTCATCCAATGCTTTATCATCTTATGAGTTTTTAAGATTCGTTTTTAAATCATCATCACAATCAACAACATAGTTTAATAGTCCACTGCTGGACATAGGCCTCTCCTTAGAAAGGAGGTTTTGGCCTACTACACCACGCTGGCCAGACAGGTTGGTATAGGGTTTGTTTCAAGTTTTCCTTCTCTCTGCAGTGCTGTTGTTCTGCATAGTTTTTTCCCTTAGTCGGCTCTTACGACACCCACGGGATGAATAGGGGTGGTGACACTCCGTATTCTTATTCCGTCACATCACGTTTTTACATAAGTTTATCATATTATCTGGCACTCATCACACATATGTATATCTGTCATTTAACTAACCTTGCCGCTAGGGGCGCTGTCAGTTAACATCTTCTCAAGACGATACCTTTTTTTTCTGTGCGGCAATCCCCTGGGATATACACCCACCGGTGGTTATGTCGGACGATACCTTAGACGTACCTAACATGAAGTTGAACTATAAAATAGTGATTGAGATTGCATACCAATCGACTTTACAAAATTTCCTTTTTTTTTTCTCTTAATGACAGGTCCCGCATTAGGAATATATCCTGGGGGGGGGGACTTAACAAACATACATGAAACGGACATAAACAACACCCAGACTCAGAACAACAATTTGTGGATCACACAAAGTGTCGTACCCACAACACTCGGCGTAGTAGGAAGCGTCGTGGCAACCATTTAAACCACTACGCCATCCGTGCAGTCCAAATTGGAATGTGGAATTAGATACTGTGTCGATCGGTGAGAATTTAAAAAAAAAAAAAACAAATCAAAGCGTACTGAGTAGTGAGGCATGGGGCATAATTCCGGGTGATGCACTGGATCGATGCACGACGCATGCGCGATACTGGGGTCGATGCACCCGGTTTATGACGTAACACTTCTGTTGCACTAGTTTCGGTACGAGAGAAGTGCAAATATAAGGACGGGGCAATATTTGAGTTTATTTATTGGAAGATTTAAAAAATGATAAACAAACTCCTATTAAAAAATATAAGCACGTTCCGAGGCTTTTTAATTATACAAATAAATGTAATTGAAGTGTTTGTTTGTAATGTCAAAATAATAGTTTTTTTTCATGCTCACACGGTTATTTGCACGATACCTATGCCTAAAACCAGTTTAATTTTTTTTTGTCTGTTTATCAGTCTGTTTGTTCCGGGTAATCTTCAAAATGGCTCGACTGATTTTGAAAATATTTTACTACCAGGTAGCTGCCTATATAAGGAGTAACTTAGGTTTTTATTTCTCTCAGAAAAACCTATAAAAATTGCCCGGTCGGGGAATCGAACCCACTAAAGCAGTGCTTTTCAAATTCCACGCGAACGAATTCACGGGCACCAGTTACAATTACAAACAATAAAACAAAAGTGTTTAGTAAAACGCGGTATAACATATAATCCCCTATAACGGAGCAAACAAGCGGACTGGTGACGTGATGGTAAGTGACTACCGCCGCCTATGGACACCTACAACTCAACAGGCACAAGTGCGTTGCCACCCTTAGAGTCCCCCCCTCCCAGAATCAGGGTGTGAGGGGGGAGGGGACTTTGGGCTACGTTAATCTCATTAACTCCGTGAGGCCGCGGTATTACTCCAGTCGATCCTGCTCATTTGTGCATGACTAACCACGGTTTTGCTTTTTCATAATATTAGTATCTATATTGTGACAATATTTATATTTGCAAAACAAAGCTATACAGTGACAAGTCTATAACTGCCATATTTAAATAAATTTATTTTTAAATTTAAAAGTCGATCTAATTTAGTAAGTAATTGTTGTAGGCCTTCATGTTTTGTATGCAAAAGTCGAAGTTCGCTGCACTTTTGATCTCGAAACTGCTTCCTTAGTAGGGGACTAGTAGTAGTGGGGGACTAAGGACACAGTTTACTACTCTGTTAAGCAAAATAACTACAATTCGAGATCAAAATCTGGAGTGCAGCGAACTTCTACTTTTAAGGTAAGGTAAGAAATACTTAACAGGGGAAAATATTCGATATTCTACCACGGGACGCGTAGATAAACTCACTCAAATAACTTCTCACATCTCACACGCGGCAGTCTGATCCCAAACTAGACAGAACCTGTACTATGGTAACCAGACCGCTGACAATCATACTTAAATGATCGTGCTCATCACACAATTACTTTTCCTGGGCTTAGTAGGGAGGATCATTAGCCAACATGAAAGTTAAATTAATGTCTTAAGTGTTATCTGAAAGAGGAATGTTGTTGTGGTTCACCAGGGATTCTCTGTTCGAGTATAACCTAGGAAGGGAGTCTCCGGTCTTTGCAGACTTCGGCCACACTCCAAACAATAGGCAGCTGCACCATTGAGTGCAAAGGATCTTGCTGCCTCTTTCTGTTTAAAGAGGCGTGCGACACACGTCGTACGACCACCTTTGATCTTCTTCTACAAATAAGTAACAGAGAAGGACTGAGGTCTTCGAAGACGAAGAATGGTAAGAAAAGAAGATCAACAAAATGTGATTAATGAATGAATACATGAAAGTTGATTTTATTATGCGTAGGAACGGGTGTTGTGTCCCTTAAACACAACAGACCAGCGAGGTGATGATGCCTGGTGGGCCGCGGCCCAATTTAAGTAAGTTTTACTCGCATATGCATACTAGCTTGTGCGCTCGACTTTGCCCGCGTGTATGTCAGTTATCGCGGTAATAAGTAGCCTATGTTACTCGCTGATAATGTAGTTTGCCATTGGCGTAAGAATGTTTAAAGTCGGTTTAGTGGTTAGAGCTAACAAACAAACTCACTTTCACATTTATTACACATATAAAAATCGAAGTATGGATATGCATTATGTGTACCTACTCCTTTCGTAGTTTCGGTGTGTTTCCGTTAGATGGCAGTATAGTAAATTTTTTCGTTCTATGACCAAGTCGCCACAATTCACTTTTGTGTTAAAAATAGAAGTTCATTGTTCTTACCTTCTGTTGTCAAGATAAGCATCAAACTCATCAGGGGTATTCTTTTCGTCGTGCATCTCGTAGAGGTCGCTGTATATCGCAGACTCCAATCGGGACGGATCCAGGTGATAGTTTGGATTCTCGTAGGAGAGCAGACCATTCTCTGGGGACAATGAAAGACAAGGTTACTTTAGATTCAATAAATATACCTAAACCCAAAAATGTTATGATTTTTAGATTTTACTTTACCCTGTCAATTAAAAACTATGCATTGGTTTTTAATTCTAAAAATTTAAAAGATAAACACTTATTTTATGGTAGTTTTAATATTTTCTAGAGTTGATATAGATATCCGGTGATTATCGAATGACCGGTCTCATTATCATTTATTATTCGTCCGGAAATCGGATAGTCAATACACGTACAACATGTCATATTTTAATATGCGAACAAAACATTAAAATAAATTGTCTATTAAAAATATTACCAAAAAATAATTACAGATTAAAAATATTTATCAATATTTTGTTTTCCGACGACCTGGTGAAGGTCGTGCAAAACGGTTGAATGCGGGCAGCACAGGACCGTTTGTTGTGGCAAAACTTTGGGGAGGCCTATGTCCAACAGTGGACGTCTTTCGCCTGAGCTTTTTTTTATCTCTAGGCATAGTATGACATATAAACACAAATTTCTATTGTCACTAAATTTAAAATTGTGTCATGTTCCCTCGTTACTCTATACTAGCGTAGATTGTTTGGGAGATAAAAAGTGTCTATGGTTACGAAACTCCTGCTGCTAATGTCTTAAAGCATCTTCATGATTTTTGTTTGTAATAAGGCCCAACCGTTAAATCAGGTCACCTGATGGTAAGTGACTATCGCCGCCCCAGAACACCAACAACTCAAGAGATACAAGAGGTCTCTGGTCGAGCCGACCAGAATACGTAGCGAGGCATGACTCTCCCACGCCACGGTTAAAATTAATCAGTTAAAGTTAAGAGTAAAATTTGACAAAGTTTTGATGACATTAGCTGATCACCAAGTACATGGGTAACGATTACGATAAATATACCCAAACTTTAAGTAATTCCACTTTATATAAGTTTGATGGATGTATTCATGATCTTACTTCGGTATTACTACTATTGTAGACACAAAAGTTTTGGTAGATATTTGTTACACAGCCATACCAATGGACCTAGTTGACTATTTGACTTCACCCAGACGATCGAGTATAAGTGAAATAAACACATTAGCCCCACTGAACGTCTAAACAAAACGAGTCTAAATTTCACCGTGGGACAGCCATGTAACGTTACCGGAGCCTCAAACCCGGTTTGGGTTTCTCTCTAATTTTTTTTTTAAGGGGAAACGAGCAGACGGGTCACCTGATGGTAAGCAACTACCACCGCCCATGGACACCTTCAACTCAAAAGTCACAAGTGCGTTGCCGACCGTGGGAAGGGGGATTTGGGTTTCCGTAACCTCACTTACTCAGTGAAAGGCACTGAAAGAATTGCTTAACACCGGTTTTCTGTGGGGCCGTGGTATCACTCCGGTTGAGCCGGCCCATTCGTGCCGATAGCTTTCCAACGGTAGTGGAAGGGGCTCAAACGATTATTTAAATATCTTCGAACCTATCCGAATGTGACGTGTCCTGTCCGTGTAGTGACGGACTAAGAATACGGAATGTCACTACCCCAATTCATCCCGTGGGTGTCGTAAGAGCCGACTAAGGGCGCAAAACAAGGCAGGACACCAGCACTGCAAAAAGAAGGAAAACTTGACACAAACCGTATACCAACCCGTCTGGCCAGCGTGGTATAGTAGGCCAAAACTTCCTTTCTAAGGAGAGGCCTATGTCCAGCAGTGGACTAGTAAAGGCTGTTGATGTGATGTGATATCCGAATCCAAAATATCATGTCAATAAAATCCCCGTTATTAACTAACAGTATATTATATGTGAACATTTTAACATAATATGTGTATATTTACAGTCGATCGACGGTCACGCACTTCTCAGGTATCTGGTAACCGAAGCTGAAACCTTAATAGTTACTGAGGGACGTACCACCACTAGGCCGAAAGGTTGTGTATGAGAATTAAAAGTGATAGTCAAATTTCAATTCATAGTTATGTTTATTTTATAGAATACTAGATTTACCCTTTTGTTTCCGTGCGGAAATCCCCTCGGATACCACCTATCGGTGGCATGTCGGACTCGAACCGACTAAAACCACACGCCGTCTCGGGTACTAATAGCCGGGGAACCAGGTATAATCTAGAAAGGAAATACTAGTTTTACCCTGCCACGGCACTGCTGTGGCACATTATGGTTGCAAAAAATGGATAAAAAAAACATCTCTGCAGCGTGTTGTATATTGTGTCAAAACTTGACCTCAATTATGGCACAACTTTTTGAGTTTTCGAAGCGCACATAAAATAAATTAACATTTTTATATAAATATAGATGTACAAAGGGTTTCACTAAAAATATGCACTTCTTCCAATATGCGCCATAGTGACGATAGCCCTCGGTTCTCCGCCTTTCACATTCATATAACACTTAATAAAGTAGCATTATTATATTAGTATAGATTTATTTCAAGTAAACTAGAAATTTATTACTAATTTAAAACGTTATAACTTCTTAAAAGTCTACTTAATAGCGTATACAAACACACACAACACACACACACACGCACACAAACAACACACACACACACACACACACACACACACACACACACACAGAAAAGGGAGACGCACACACTCACCCAAGCATACGAACACTTATACACTAATTAATCCTAAATACAGTATTGACAAACTCCCACGCCCCACATTACACTTTTATTCATCTATCTAGTTCCATTCCCACACATTTACACACATTTGAAAACACAATGTGAGGGTAGGGCTATATTACTAAAACTATCAATTATTTAGTGGACACTATTGTGCGCCGGAAGCGGGCCGTTACATGTTAGTGGACACGCGCCTTTATTTTGTGGTACAAGTGAAAATTCATATTATTTTTTTTCCAGAAAGCCAGAATCGGAGTTATCACATCAACAGACCACTATTGGACATAGGCCTCTCCTTAGAAATATCTTATAAATGTTAAAGTTAGGATGACAGTTGGTCGTTCAATCACAAGAAGAATGGCTGAATGGCTTTTGACACAGAAATATAGTTTGGAATAGGACATAGTTTATTTAAATCCTGGAAAACGAAAAAAATGTAGACAAAGTTGGCATAAACGCGAGTGAAACCACAGGCAAAAGCTAAACGTAAAAGATTTCTTATATTACTAAACTTACAAGAGGATTCTTGAAAAAGTGTAAACATAACTGTTTACAGACATATTATACAAGATTCTCTTCACACAACACGTCTTACACGATATGTAATGTTTGAGTTGTATTACGTATAAGCTCGCGTGTATAAGATATCGGTGAATCATGCGATTATATAGTTTTTCACGGTTATGTAAAGTTTACTTCGGCACCTGTCACGTTGTTGAAGTGTAATTGAATGATAAAGTTTATAAACAAATCAAGAATTTACCTGTAATTATTAACGGAAATCGCGCAGTCGTTCTTAGTTATCAACCTTATATCTAAAGCTTTTTATATGTTTTCAATTATTAAATCTGAAATAGAAATTCTGTGTTAACATTTCCAATAACGATGATCCATACTCAAATAAAATTGAATTTTAACTTATGAATAATTAATTATTCCAAAAATCCGTGTTTATAGTAAGTATATTCTATAGTGAAATCTTCCTTATTGATATGTAGAAATTCGTATTAAAAGAACCACATTGTAGTACTCCGGTAAATGCTACCTTTTAAGTTATTTCAGATTTGAAATGTTTCATTATAGTTTATAATCTTTGGAACTGTTCTAAGCCGATAAATGCAGTACCTTAACAATTGCACTACTTGTTAGTTACGAACTGAAAAAATTATTTGACAACAAAACTTTATAATACTTTGATGTAACCGCAAGTATTGTATACAGTATATATAAAATTTGCTTCTTGTTATCCACCCGCTACTTCTTACAATCTGCACCCCACATTCAGCTACATAAACTTGTAACTATTAAGGAAGTACCACAGCAGGGGTTCGCTGATACCTATTGAAACTTTTATCAAGATTTCAGGCATGTTTACTCCTTTACAGGGCTATAGAAGGATTATCACCGAAATAGGAGTTTTAGGATGTCGTTTCTGGCACAATGTTCGGTACAAAGTACGCAGTTTGTGAAACAGATAGTTATGAGATTTTTTTCCCTCAAAAGGTCGGATGTTGTTTCAATAAACTTTTAATGTTCATGAATTTATAATAGGTTATTAGTGTATTACTATCATATCGCTGTCCTATAGGTCTCTAAACAGATGTTAAACTGCTTTCGTTGGAGTAAAAAAGGAGATCCAGAGCACGCAGAGTAAGCCTATTAAGAACACCAAGAGGAAGTATGGAGACTGATTCAGAAAAAGTAGGCAGCATAAGATAAATAGGGAAGATGTCGAAGGCCATGGAAGAAGGTAAGGAAGAGGATACTGATTAACCGAATAACAGATTATCTGGCGTTTATTCTGACACAAAGTCACATGGACTTGATACCATGCATTTATGGCTCGTTCTGTAAAAAACACATGAGCTTTCAGACCAAAAAGTAATCGTCTCAACGCCAAACCCCCCAAACATAGTATCCGAACATGGTAATTTTGCAGATTCCTGTCCTCGCAAGCTGTATAGAGCTTCTGATGATTCGTTACTAGCACCGTCACAACCAGCAATACTCAGAATATGTTGTAGCAAGAGCTTTAAGGATGAACTGAAATATTTGCAGAAAGTAACTGGCAGCGGATTGATGTGGACTGCCCAAGAACGGAATAGTTGGAGCTATTTGGGGTAGGTCTTCGTTCAGCAGTGGACGGTGATAGGTTGATGAGAAGGGCTTCAAAAGATGGTATGTCCAATACACTATGGTTAATAATCTTCCATCCACAGACCTCTTTAAAAAATAAAGGAAGTATCTTCTAATTATTCTTTTATTTATTTTGACATTAAATCTATACTAATATTATAAAGCTGAAGAGTTTGTTTGTTTGAACGCGCTAATCTCAGGAACTACTGGTCCGATTTGAA